AATCATTTTTATTTCTATTATTTTAAGATTTTATTTTGTTTTTGTTTGAAAGGATGAATTAGAGAGAGAGAGAGAGACAGAGAGATGTCTTCCATATTCTGGTTCACTTCCCAAATGGCTGCAAAGGCCAGCACTGAGCCAGGTCAAAGCCAGGAACATGAAATTCCAACTGGTTCCGCCACCTGGATGCAGGACCCCAAGCACTTTAACTACACAAACCCTACTCTGTAAGAGAACAGGGCTCTCTCTGCCATGTGCTCTACCCTCCACGGCAGTGTGTCCCTCTCATGTTTGTCTCCGAATAAACCAGCTCTGTCTGCTGAGTTCCTGATCTTTTTCCTCTTTGTCTTGTTCCTGTACCCTAATAATATGATTACAGAGAAATTATTAATTTAAAACAAATACTTCTAGGACTAGAATGTGAATTAAAACACCTTGTCCCTTAATATTATAATAAAATATTCTTCCTAAAAATTACTAGATATAATCTTTTTTGCTCAGTAAAAACTCTAATGATACCAGAAAGCACATTTATAATTATCTCTGAAATGCTTGTTCTTATGTGAGGCATATCAGTCTATGAGGGGTTTCAAAAAGTTTGTGGAAAGGGGGACCGGCGACATGGCACACTAGGTTAATCCTCCACCTGCGGCGCCGGCATTCCATATGGGCACCGGTTCTAGTCCCGGTTGCTCCTCTTCCAGTCCAGCTCTTTGCTGTGGCCTTAGGATAGCAGTGGAGGATGGACCAAGTGCTTGGGCCCCTGTACCCACATGGGAGACCAGGAAGAAGCACCTGGCTCCTGGCTTCAGATCAACACAGCGCTGGCCATTGCAGCCATTTGGGAAGTGAACCAACGGAAGGAAGACCTTTCTCTGTCTCTCTCTCTCACTGTCTATAACTCTACCTGTCAAATAAATAAATAAAATCTTTTAAAAAACATTTTGTGGAAAAGTAAATTAATATATAAAATGAAAACATTAAATGACTAAAAGATAAAAATACACAATTTCCATGAACTTCTTGAAAACTCTTCATATTAATGAAGAAGCCTAGGGGATGTGATAATGCATCAACTCTGCCTTCTTTAGAGTTCAGTTTTGGAGGACTACAAATGTATTTCTATTCTATGGTTATGGTTAGTGGAAGCTTTTAATAAATCAGTTGGTGATCAAAAATTTTACATTTGTAGACCATTAAGGCATGACCTCTCCTCCTCATATACTTTCACAGGAAATGATGACACTAATTTTTCTTCTGAAAACATCCTAGGGGATTTTTGTAAGTGTTTCAATCAAAGGCAAAGAACAATAAAATTACTCCCAGTTTGTTGCCATTATAATGGCATCCTACTTATTACTTTGGACTACCTAAATGTTCTAATACTGAAAGTTACGATGAAATATCTTACATTTCAAAGAATTGTCACCTTTCCTCCTTGTGAATATAGAGTTAATATAAATATAGGTTATTTTCATTTATTATGTTCATTTTTACTCTCCATATTTTCTTATTCAGCTGATAAGTCAAATACATTAACACAGGAACATAAAGAGAAAGCATCATAGTCAACTAATGAGAGATTGCTGGCCATGGACAAATCCATCTAGGTTGAGTTTTAGCTGGAGTTGGATGTTAGAGCAACTCACATATCCCACAGCATACCAATTTGTAGAAGAGTTCTTAGTGTTCTTGGGATTTTCCAAGTGTTTTGTTGATGGCATTACAAGTTGTCCTATGTCAAACATGTATACTTAAATGAACAGAACGAAGATAGTGGGAAACCTATTTCATTGTGAGAACACTGAATCAAGAAGGGCATATTAAATGGACTAAGAAAAACACTGATAGTCTATTATCTTCAAGAAAAATGTCACACGGGTAGGGTCACATTATTATTGAATGGAGACATTTGTGTTTTAATTGACCAGTCGACAGGCAACCATAAAACTAATGTAGAGTCAGCTGCTTTTCATGCTGTTATAGTTTATATCCAAGATCCTCAGTCTTGTCAGTATATTCTTGGGGTTGAATCTCTAGAAATCTGTAGAATCTTAGATAAAGCACATGAAAATGAACATTTTCCTCTCTCTAACTAACGAGTAGTGAAGTTGAAAAAACATGTTTTTGGAAGTCACAATGACTTTTATCTTCTATGACCATATGTTTCACTACAGGATTTTCAGCCATTGGGTCTCAACTAAAGGACTGTATAAAAAGATTTTCAACCATTCCGTGAATGTGTAAGGGTACCTGAAAACATTTGTAGAAAGATGGAATTAAAATATAAGTTTATCTCGGTGCAAAAAATTGAAATTCATAGCTTTTCATAATATGCTTTCCATGAATTTTTGAGGAATCTATGCATGTATACATTTGCATATGCATATTTACATATATATATAACAAATTATTGATAAGTTTCCAAGGCAGATAATTGTCTTAATAGCTTCATCTTTTTTACTTCTTTGTAAATGATTATGTATTTTTTCTTTGTTTGGATAATGTGATTTGAAAATAAAATTCATGTAAGCCAAAAATTTAAAAATGCTTTTTATTCTTTCTGATATTCCAATATTCATGTTAAAATAGCTTGAAATACAAAAAAACAAATATTTTAATGCATGAATTCTTAAGCAATTAAGCAATAACATAACAAACCAATATTTTTGAGTTTTAAAGATAATATGTTGAAATTAAAATTTCATTTTCTTACCTTTCTGGATATGTAAGTGATTTTAACATGAGACTGTGAATCTTGTATTTGCATGTGGAACATTGCAGATTTGAACTCTGGAAATATGTCAAAACAATGCTTGAAATATTTACAATGTCTCTGAAAAATTGAACAAGAATCTTGACTTCTTGAAATTTATAAAATGGTCTGTTCTTCCTAAACAGAAAGTTTGATATATTTAGACAGTTATACTTGAAATAATTTAATCATAAAATCAGTGTAATCTTAAGGAGATGGGATACCTAGGACAATCTAAGAGAGGAAATGGCCCAACAAAATATTTGTTAAGGTATTTATTAAAACAATTCAGATTATAAATAATAACAGAATAAAATAAGAATTATAATGATCATAATGCATATATTCCCATACAGAAACATTTTGAAGATGCTTTCTGGGAAAAGGGAGAAATCTTGTCTATTGAGACTACGTACTCAGATTGTATATTTCTCTGAAATTAGGTAAATGATATTTCTGTTTTACTAATGTTCAACAACTCATTTTTCCTCAAAAAGACTATAATACTCAAATGATCACTCCTATTTTCTCTGTGCCTCTTTAGCAAACATTTTTAATTATAGTAGTAATTTATAAAAGCCTGAGATTCCAAAATAAAAAATATAGGTAGTATTTAGTAAGTATTTCCAGGGCGTATACAGTGTACACAGAATTGTAACGAAGCTTCATGTTCTTGACCATACTGAACTGTCTCACAATTCCTTTTCTGAGGTACCACGAGTAACACCATTTGACAGAGGAGCGTCAGAGCATCCGTTAGCACCTCTCCCAGTCACACACTAATAGACGGACGGCTAATATAGAAACACAGCGCCGTGGCACTCTTCACCGCTCTGCTCATTCCTCGCCACTGAGTCAGCAACGTGGGTCCTTGTAGTCTTTTACTTCAATGTGGGGCTGTCTGACTCCTAAAGGAGCTCCATCTACTCTGCTACTACTTTCTCTCACTAGCTAAAACTTAGGGCAAAGGTGAGGGAGGAGGAGAAGGCACAGGAGAAGGGGGAAGGGAAGGAGGGAGATGGTAATGGAGCAGAAAGAGGAGGAGAGAGGAGACGACAGACAGAAAGAAGGAAATTGATTTTTAAAACTGTTAAAAGTTCCTCCTCGGAGGCAACCAGGACTTGCCTGAGCAAAGGTAACAAGCACATACGGAACAGCAGAAGAGACCTGTTGGCCCTGGCACTCCCTGCCACCACCTCTCTGTCCCTGCTGTCTCCTTTTGGTTCCTCACAGCAGCTCAACCCAAAAATGGCATCATCATTTCTCTGAGTCTATCTCTGCTCCGTCATGGGCAGGGTTACCCCCTTCTCTTTCACAGAAGGTAGTGTCCTTGGGCATATCTCAAATCCCCTTCTAAGAGCTTATCTAGATTTCTCAGGTCTATTTCAAGGTCAACATTCCAGATGAGAACATGTTCTCTTTCCCCAAAAAATCAAAACCAAACCAAGCTTTCAAACTCATGGCCACCAAATCTCTACCTCCAGCGGAGGCCTGTGCAATGAGTTCCAGATATATACATCCACCATCACTCACCATGTCCATTAGATATCTCAAGGTGCCTAAAGCTTAGCAGGCTCAAATCTAAATAACTCATCAACCCTCAAACTTTCCTGTCATTAAAAAATAATAATAAGCAAAAAAAAACCCACAAAATGAAAACTTAAAATTGTCTCAAGGTATTAAATGGCATTTTATTGGTCAAGTCAAACAACAGGGATTCATCCTTTATACCGTCCTTTCTTTCAGCTGCCAAGTCCAATCTATCATAAATTCCTACTGGCTTTACCAATGAAATATGCTGACCCTCCTTTGAAACCATGTTCAATTTTCCAGCTCTCCTGCAAACTCTCTAATGTGGGACATGCTGTCTCTTGTCTCCGTTCTTACCACAGCATCCTGTCTTTTCCCTCTCCAATCCATTGGGATCAAAATGCTTTTCCAAAATCAAACAATATTCATCTCAGCCAGATTGCCCAAAATAAAATACTTCAGTGGCTTTCAGTTGCCCAGTGAATAAAATGTAGATGCTGGAATATGGTCTGAGAGTTCTTATTCCTTCAATGTCTAGGTGCTTTCTATGTCTTGCAGCTACAATTTGCTATTGCTGCTTCCAGACTGAGCTACTTAGCTTCCTTCAACGCTTGGTGTGTCATGCTCCTTCCTGCTTCAGGTTCTGGATGTTCACTGGGTTTTTTTGCCTGGAATTCAGCAGGAAAATTAGTTTTGTTCATCATTTCAGTCTCAAGTAATATGCCTATAGATACATTTGTCAGTGTATCTCCTATATGAAGTTTCCATAAAAACTATAATTTGTATTAAGACATTTTTGATGGATGGATTTTATTTATGCAATTTTTGTTAACTAATTAATTAATCTATGCCTGTCTTTATCCTGTAATCCTAATGAGGGTAAAGGCAAGTCTGTTTGTTCATCACAGTTACACCAGCTCTCAGCACAGCTCCTGGTTCACTAGAAATACTCATTGGAATTTGTCTGAGGGACAGCTCTTTGATGCAATACATAACAAGCTACTCATGACCACATCTCCTATAGAGCTCGAATCCCAGGTCCACTCCTGACTCCAACTCCCCGCTAATTTTGGGAGGCCACAGTGATAGCCTAAGTAGTTAGGTACCTGCCACTCACATGGGAGACCTGGATTGAGTTCTGGACTAATAGCTTCAGCCTGGCCATCTTTTATACCATCCTCTCTTTCAGCTGCCATATCCAATCTATCATAAATTCCTACTGACTTTACCAATGAAATATGCTGACCCTCCTTTGAAACCATGTTCAATTTTCCAGCTCTCCTGCAAACTCTCTAATGTGTGTCTATCCCCAAATGTGTATCTGTTTCTCTTTCATACAAATAAAAAATGAGATTGGTAAAACATTTTTTTGTTTTTTTTTTAACTTTTATTTAATGAATAATGTTTGTCAAGTAAATAAAGACCCATGGTTTCCTTGCCTGCTGAACAACCGAGACACTTCCTCTAGGACCTGCAGTCAGGACTCCATTCCTCAATGGGAGTATTTTCTGATCTCCATGCCTTTGAAAGTAACTTGTTTCCTGACCATCTTACCTTCCCTTCAAATGCTGCCTTGTTTCCCCTCCAGATTCTGGTGGCCTGTTAAGTGGTCTTCTATTATAGAACTCATTCCTTAAGGTTGTGGCTATGCATTAGCCTCCTCCAGTATTCTGTGACCTTGAATATAATAACCCTACCTATTTCAGTTTAGGTCCCCATTGTTTTGTAAAATATCAAATAAATTTTGTGATGTATAACTTGTTAGATTAATGAATTATTCAAGGCTAACAAAGTATGTTTCTAACAAGAATAAAAAATAAACTACGTATGTATTAATATATAGATATGCAAAAATTTCAAGCAATTCAGTCATGAACTATCAGGAATAACATTATTATTTACTACTATAATACATTCAATAGCGTTCAAAATTAGGTGAAAAGGGATTAAAATTTCTCCTAATTTAAAACGGGGGAGGGGGCTTGATGAAAGTGAAAAACTTGCATTGGAGTTCTGGGTTGGTTTCTTTAATTGTTACCATTTGGGGAATGAACCAGTAGAAAAAGACGCTCTTTCTCTCTCTTTTCTCTCTCTCTCTTCCTCACTCTTTCTGTCTCTCTCTCTTCCTCAGGCTTTCTCTCCCTCCCTCCCCCAGTCACTCTCCCTTTCAAATAAAAATAAATCTTTAAAAAAAAAAAGAGAAAAAACAAAAATAATTGCTTCTCTCTCACTACCAATTCTATCCAGCTATTAAATTTTATGTGCAATACCTTTATGAACTTCAAGAAAATTAAGCTTACATAATCTAATATTAAAATGTTTATCTAAAAAATGTAAAAACAATTGAGCCTGATTGTTAACACAGGATATTGTTTCTAAAGGTGACATTTCATGAAGAAATGGTCTTATTTTTGTTTGAGTAACAGAGATTATCAGTATGTTTTATCATCTTACACTTTTTAAAATTATTTTCTCTGTACACTCCAGACTTTGAAAGTTTTTTTTCTGGAAAAAAACTGCATGTATTATTAGCAATTGATTTTATATTTTCATGTTGTTTCCTTAATAATATATTAATAATTATTTTCATTAATAATACTCTAACAGTAAATGTATCACTACAACTGTTTGGGATACTAGCATGCAAATAAATAAGCAGGCAGGGACATTTTAAACTGGCTCACATATAATGGTTGAATAAGTTTGCATGTCACTGTGTACTCAGCATGTGTGTGTCCAGCACATATTAGATTTAGTTAACTAGTCAATCCAGGTACTGGAACAGCTTAAATGTGACTGGGGTGAATGTGATGACATCAACTGTGCCTCCTGAAATTCCAATGTCATTCACAAGTCAATACTTAAATTGAACTGTTGTCCATTCATCTTCTCTTCAAGGTACTAGTGAGCCAGAAATCTAACACAGCAGAACGGTAATCATGATTTTAGTAACATATACCTTTATATCATTTTTCATTTAAAAGGAAATTCATTTCCTAGTTTTAGAATTTATACAACACAAAATATATATTCAATATAGTCAAGCTAAGAACATTTTTCATGGGCCGGTGCTGTGGCATAGTGGGTAAAGCCGCCACCTACAGTGTGGGTGCCAGTTCGAGTTCTGGCTGCTCCACTTCCAATCCAGCTCTCTGCTATGGCCCGGGAAAGGAGTGGAGGATAGCCCAAGTCCTTGGGCCCCTGTACCTGCATGGGAGACCCGGAAGAAGCTCCTGGCTTCTGATTGATGCAGCTCTGACTGTTGCAGCCAACTGGGGAGTGAAACAACAGATGGAAGACCTCTCTCTCTCTCTCTCTCTTTCCGCATCTCCCTCTTTCTGTGTGTAACTTTGACTTTCAAATATCCCTCTTAGTAGTTTTTTTATCTGTTCTACTTAATATGACTGGCTTAGTTCTGTAATTGGTGCACAGTTATTCTTAAGTGTTGAAAATTAACTGAAATGTGATCCCTGTTGAACATGGGAGTGGGAATGGGAGAGGGAAGAGATGTATAATTTGGGACATGCTCAGGCTGACTTGCCCCAAGTGGTGGAGTTGGAAGCATACCAGGGGATTCCAATTCAATCTCATCGAGGTGGCATGTACCAATGCCATCTCACTGTTCCAGGTGATCAATTTCAGTTCACAGTTGGTCATGGTGGAGGGACTGGGAGTCAAAGGGAGCACATAGACAAGTCTAGTACCTGCTAACACTAACCGATGGAGTAAATAAAGGGGAGAGTGATCCAACATGGGAAGTGAGATACTCAGCAGACTCATAGAATGGCAGATGTCCTAAATAGCACTCTGGCCTCAGAATCAGCCCTAAAGGCATTCGGAGCTGGCTGAAAAGCTCATGAGAGTATTTCAGGCATGGAAAGCCAAGACACTCTGGCAAAAGATCTCTGTGAGTGAGATCCCAGTGGAAAGAACAGGTCTTCAAAGAAGGAGGTACCTTTCTCTGAAGGGAGGAGAGAACCTCCACTTTGACTATGACCTTGTCTAAACAAGATAAGAGTCGGAGAACTTAGAGGGCTTCCATAGCCTTGGAAACTCATGACTGGAGCATAGGGAGATTGCTGATGCCATAGACAGGAGTGTCAATTGGTAAAGTCAACAACAGGAGTCACTGTGCACTTACTCCTCATGTAGGATCTCTATCCTTAATGTGCTGTGCATTGAGATTTAAAGCTATAACGAGTACTCAAGCAATATATTTCACTTTGTGTTTCTATGGGGGTGCAAACTGTTGAAATCCTTACTTAATGCATACTAAACTGATCCTCTGTAAAAAAAAAAAAAGAAATTATCAATTCCCAACTTGACTCTCACTGGGATTAAACATGACAATAGGTCTGCTCTGATTTCATCATCATTTAAAAAAAAATCATCTATTATTTTTCACTTTATGTTTCTGTGTGGGAGCAAACTGTTGAAATCCATACTTAATGTATACTAAGCTGATCTTCTGTATATTAAGATAATCGAAAATGAATCTTGATGTGAATGGAAGGGGAGAGGGAGTGGGAAAGGGGAGGGTTGTGGGTGGGAAGGACAGTATGGGGGGGAAGCCATTGTAATCCATAAGTCGTACTTTGGAAATTTATATTCATTAAATAAAAGTTTAAAAAAAAGATATAATGATGAAAAAAAAAAGGACATTTTTCAGATACCTGGATGACATTAAAAATACATATACAGGGACAAGATATTAGCCTAGTGGTTGAAGATACCATCTAAGATGCTCACATCCCACACCAGAGTGCCTGTGCTCACTTCTGAGTTCTAGTTCCTGATTTTAGCTTCTTGCTAATGTAGTTACTGAGGGGTGGCAAAGATGCTAGAGTAGTTAGGTCTCTACCACTCATATAGGAGACCTGGATTGAGCTCATGTCTCCAGCTCCAGCCTAGCTCCAACTATTGTGTTCATTTGGTGAATATACCAGAGAATCAAACTCTCTCTCTTTCTCTCTCTGTATCTCTCTCTCTCTCTACTATGTCTGTATCTCTTACTCTAAATATATACATTTAAATTTTTAATGCATACATCCATAACATATATATATATATATATATGTAAACAGTTACATGGAATATTGAGAAAAAATCAAAACCCTCCCCAATTATTTGGAAGCTTTGTGGCTCAGAGTGATTCTGAAACACCAAGATTTATCGTCCTGTTATTAACAGAAGTTGGTAGACATATTTTCACACCACTGTGAATACAATGATCCTGAAATTTAAGAGAAGCAGCAAACAAGGGTGGTAGAAATAATACTGGATTGAGAGTGAGATGACAAAGAGAAAAAAATGCTTTCCTTTTCAACTGATCTCACTTTTGTAGTGACTAGTTGCATAGCATAAACAAGTTATTTAATCCCTTTCCTACTCTGTACGTGTCTCTTTAGAATAAAATAATTCAATTAAGCACACTAAATCCTTTTAATATTTAACATTTCTATATTTTCTGCATATAAAATCTACGTTATGTGGATTATATGCTGAACTATATGCTAAATAAATTAAATATTCAATTTATAAAAGAAAACATACTAAATTTTACTTACTCATAAAGTTTTGGCTCTTCAGCCACTCCAAGATGGTTTAATAATTTAAGTGAAATAATGCCATCATTCATAGTCTTATCCAGAACAATTATACTAAGAACAAAATAATAGGCTACGAAACAAAAATAGAAAATTCAGTTCACATTAGTTTTCAAACTTGGTTTTGTTTTGCTACGTATACAAATACACAGACAGACACATACACACACATATATATATTTATATACCTGTGTATATATAATATCTAGGTTTACATTACATGTACAAGTACTATCAATCAGATGGCTCGAGTACTGAATCTGCTACACATGGCTTTGGCCTGACCCAGCCCTGAGAGTAAATCAGCAGATGGAAGATCACTCCATCTTTAGCTGTTGCTCTTTCAAATAAAAATGAATATGTAAGCATTTTAAGAAGTAAAACATGAAGTGGGTATTGTGGCACAGTTGGTTGTCCCACTTGGGACATCTATATCACATATGGGAATATTGGTTTGAACCCTGGCTATTCTGCTCCAGATCCAGCTTCCTGCTAATTCATTCTGGGAGACAGCAGAGGACCGCTGCCATCCCTAGGAGGAGTTCCAAGAGCCTGGCTTCTGCCTTGCCTAGTCCTCTGTATAGCAGCCATTTGGGTAATGAAGCAGCAGATGGAAGATATCTCCCTCTCTCTCTCTCTGCCTTTCAAGTAGATGAAAATAAACAAACATTTTAAAATTGGGGCCAGCATTGTCATTCAGTGGGTTAAGCCACTGCCAGCAACACTGCCATACCATATGCGCAGTGAATCGAGTCCTGCTGCTCCACTTCTGATCCAGCACCTTGCTAATGCACCTGGGAAAGCAGCAGAGGATGCCCTAAGTACTTGACCCTTGCACCATGTGAGACCTGGATGAAGTTCCAGGCTCCTGGCTTTTGCTTGGGTCAGCCTAAGCCATTTTTGTGCTGAACCACCAGATGGAAGGTTTTTTTCTGTCTCTTCCTCTCTCTGTTACTCTGTATGGCAAATAAATAATTTCACCCTGGAGCAATGAACAGAACTCCCTGGTCACATCCAGCACATGCCTCTGGGTATTCACTAAGCCACAGAGGCATAGCCCAAAGATAAAAGCATCACAGGGAAAACAAACAAACAAACAAACAAAAAACACAAGTATCTCCAAAAATGTCTAAAAATAAATGCAGCAATTCAAGAAACAAGAATAAGGAAGACAACATGATCATGCACCCAAAAGAACACAACAGCACTTCAATACTGGAACGTGAAGATGAAGAGAGAAGAGCCGGCGCTGCAGCTCAATAGGCTAATCCTCCGCCTTGTGGCGCCCGCACACCAGGTTCCAGTCCCGGTTGGGGCACCGGATTCTGTCCCAGTTGCCCCTCTTCCAAGCCAGCTCTCTGCTGTGGCCCAGGAGTGCAGTGGAGGATGGCCCAAGTCCTTGGGCCCTGCCCCCCATGGGAGACCAGCAGAAGCACCTGGCTCCTGCCTTCAGATCAGGGCATGCAACCTCCACGGCAGCCATTGGAGGGTGAACCAACGGCAAAGGAAGACCTTTCTCTCTGTCTCTCTCTCTCACTGTCCACTCTGCCTGTCAAAAAAAAAAAAAAAAAAAAAAAAAAAAAAAGATGAAGAGAGAAGAAATGCCAGAAATGGAATTCAAAAAATTGATCATCGGTTTACTTAGAAGTAATCAGAGGCAAATCCATGAATTAAAGTAATCCATACATGATATGAATGAAAATTTTCCCATGAAATCGAGATTTTAAAAAGAAATCAAAATGAAATATTAGAAATTACAAAATAGATCAAGTTAAAAAATGAGGCAGAAAGCCTTTACAACAGACTCAGTGAGGCAGAAGAAAGAATATCCGAGTTAGAAGACAAATCTCTGGAAATTTTATAGTCAGACCAAAAACAAGAAGAAATTATAAAACTAAAAAACACTGTTGGAAATCTGGAGGATATTATCAAATAATCCAACATACAGGTCTTAGAAGTTCGTGAAGCGTGGAAAGAAAGAATGGATTAGAAAGACTTTTTAGTGAAATAATTACAGAAAACTTCCCTAATTTAGAGAAAGAAAGTGATGTCCATGTACAAGAAGCATATAGAACTCCTAATAGAAAGAACATACCTCAACACAATTAAGGCAATATATGACAACCCAGAACTAGCATCAGATTGAACAGGGAAACACTGGAAACATTTCCACTAAGAAAAATCATACAAGGATGCCCAGTCTGTAATTATTATCCAATATAATTCTGTAAGTTTTAGCCAAAGCCTTTAGGCAAAAATAAATAAATAAATAAATCAAATGAATACAAATTACAAAGGAGAAAGTCAAATAATACCTGTTTGCAGATGACATAGGCCTTTAAAAGGGGCAAACAAAATTCTCCTCTGTGAGACCACTGACACTCAAAGAGAACTCAGCAAATTAAAGGATTTAACATCAACATGCAATCAATAAAATAATAACAATATCAATAACATTTTATGTCCCAAAAATGCTCTGGCTAAAAAGAACATATATAAACTGTCATGTTCACAATAGTGAAAAAAGAATGTAAATACCTTAGAATAAATTTACCCAAGGATGTGAATGATCTCCACAATGAAAATTACAAAACATTAAGGAAAGAAATAGAAAAAGACACAAAAAATGCAAAACAGATTCGATGTTCATATATTGGAAGAATTAATATCATAAAAATGTCCATACACCCTAAGCAATTTATAGATTACATGAAATACCATCAAAATATCAGACCAGTCTTTGTAAATCTAGAAAGAACAATTCTAAAATTCATGTGGAAACACAAAGAGACCCCGATTACTCAAAGCAGTTTTACGCAATAAACACAAAGCCAAAAGCACCACAATACAAGATTTCAAGACATACTACAGGGCAGTTATAATCAAAACAGACTAGTACTGGCATAAAAGCAGACATGTAGATTATTGGAATAAGAGGGAAACCTCAGAAATAAAGCTACACATCAATACCCATTTTTGACAAATGAGCCAAAATAATTCCCTGGAGAAAGAAAATTCTCTTCAAAAAATGGTGTTCAAAAAATTGGATTTCTACATGTAGAAGTTGAAACAAAACCCCTACCTCACACCCTATACGAAAATCAACTCACAATGGACCAAGAATCCAAATCTATGACCTGATACATTAAATTACTAGAGGAGAACATTGGGAAACTCTCAAGACTTTGGCAGAGGCAAAAGACTTGTTGGAAAAGACCCCAGAAGCACAGGCAATCAAAGCCAAAATTGACAAGTTGTTTCCAGCAGAGAAGATTCTGCACTCCAAAGAAAACAGGTATCAAAGTGAAGAGCCAACTTACGGACATTTCTTGGTATGTATACCGTATTTCAATATACTGATTTTAAAGAAGTATCAGTTATTTTTAATCTAAACTAAACATTTTTGTTCTGCAAAACTCTTCATAAAAAGAAATAAAAGTTATAGGAGGTGAGAAAATATTTGCCTTCCAAATATCCAACAAATACTAGCTTCCAAAACATAATCATGTAAATCTGGGGGGAGGGAAGCTTTGATTATGTCTTTGGGAAAATATTACTCAAGTCTCGAAATAATCAAGTCTTAAATCAAATTTGTCTAACTACTCAAACAAATTTTAAAAGTTTCTTGAAAGTACGTGATGAGATTTGAATAGATTCAAAGAAGACTTTGGATAAAGTGTAAATGAACATTAAAAAACTAATAGTTTGTTCATTTGCTTAATACACTAATAACTTACTACAGAATGGATTTGTGCCACTAGTATCCAAAAACACAGTGGTCCATGTAGGCCATCCTTTCATTCTGTCTTCTAAAACATCTTTCCATAGCTCCACTTGATAACCTAAGTTTTGATAACAGAACATAGAAAATTGTACTTTCATCAAATTGCTTAAAAAGTACTTCAAATCACTAAAGTAACTCAAGGACCTGTGTATATAATCATCATGGATTTTTAAGACTTTCAAAAAACATTTTTCAAGTAATTTAACATTGAATTTATTTTAAATACAATAACAACTCAAGTTAAGAAGTTATCCACTCCCTGAAAGTATTATCAGAGCTTAACATTCTCCATATGGCTACAATTCCTTTGTAACAGTTTGTACTATTACATTATAAATTCAAATTTTACTTATAACTCTTTGGATCAATTTAGCATTTAAATTAATTACATAAAATGCAAACATACAAGTTAGCTCCATGAGTATAGCCCCTCTATGAGAATATACATGTATTCAGCTATGACATGTATGTATATACATTATATACTATAAGCATATCTCTCTCTGTGTGTGTAGAGAGAAATAGAATCTATATACACACTATATGTGAGCATAGAAAGGCAGTCAAACTGGGGTGGGCATTTGGCATGAACATTAAGTTGCCTTTTGGGATGCTCACTTCACATATCAGTGTGTCTGGTTCAAGTTCTGACTCCTCTTCTTGGTAATGCACATCCTTGATGGCTCAAGTACATAGGTCCCTATTCTCCATGTGGGAAACCTGGATGGAGTTCTTGGTTCAGCCTGGCCCAGCCCAGGCTATTGAAGGCATTTGGGTAGTGAACAAGTAAATGAATCTCTCTCTCTTTCTCTCTCTCTCTCTCTCATTATCTCTCTCTCTCTCTCCCCCCTGCCCTGCCCTGCCCTGCCCTACCCCACCACCACCCTACAACCTATCAAATAAAGTTAAAATAAACAGTTTCTAAAGGCAGGCAACCATGTGCCTCTAATTAAATATTATTTAAAAATTTAGTAAATAATAGACCTGGAATCAACCCAAATGCCCATCAACAGTAGACAGTAGACAGTAGAAATTTTGGGACATGTACTCTATAGAATACTATACAGCGGTCAAAAACAATGAAATCCTGTCATTTGCAACAAAATGGAGGAATTTGAAAAACATCATGCTGACTGAATTAAGCCAGTCCCAAAGGGACAAATTTCATATGTTCTCCCTGATCAGTGAAAACTAACCAAGCACAAAAAAGGAAACCTGTTGAAGTTAAAGGGACACTATGAGAAACAGTGACTTGATCAGCCCTTGTCCTGACTGTTGTTGTACAATTTAATACTTTATCCCTTTTAGTATTTTTTTTTTGTTCTAGTTAATACTATTGGTTGAACTCTGTAATTAACACACAATTATTCTTAGGTGTTTAAATTTAACTGAAAAATGATCCCTGTTAAATATAAGAGTGGGAATAAGAGAGGGAGGAGATGTACAATTTGGGACATGCTCAATAGGACTTGCCCCAAATGGTGGAGTTAGAAATGTGCCAGGGGGATTCCAGTACAATCCCATCAAGATTGCATGTACCAATGCCATCTCAATTTCAGTTCACAACTGATCACACTGATAGGTCTAAGAGTCAAAGGGATCACATAAACAAGACTAGTGTCTGCTAATACTATACAATAAATACATAAATAAATAATACTATACAATAAATACAATCAAAAAGGGAGAGAACAATCCAACATGGGAAGCGGGATACACAGCAGACTCATAGAATGGCAGATGTCCTAAACAGCACTCTGGCCTCAGAATCAGCCCTTAAGGCATTTGGATCTGGCTGAAGAGCCCATGAGAGTATTTTAGGCATGGGAAGCCAAGACAGATCCCAGTAGAAAGAACGGGCCATCAAAGAAGGAGGTACCCTTCTCTGAAGGGAGGAGAGAACTTCCACTTTGACTATGACCTTATCTAAATAAGATCGAAGTCAGCGAACTTAAGAGGCTTCCATAGCCTTGGCAACTCATGACTAGAGCCTAGGGAGATTTCTGATGCCATAAACAAAGAGTGTCAAATTGTTAAGTCAACAACAGGAGTCACTGTGTACTTCTCCTCATGTGGGATCTCTGTCCTTAATGTGTTGTTCAATGTCAATTAATGCTATAACTAGTACTCAAACAGTATTTTTCACTTTGTGTTTCTGTGTGGGTGCAAACTGATGAAATCTTTACTTAATACATACTAAATTGTTCTTCTGTATATAAAGAGAATTGAAAATGAATCTTGATGTGAATGGAATGGGAGAGGGAGCGGGAGATGGAAGAGGTGTGGGTGGGAGGGAAGTTATGGGGGGGAAAAGCCATTGTAAGCCATGAACTGTAGTTGGAAATTATATTTACTAAATAAAAATTTTTAAAAATTCAGTAAATAATGAAACATATGCAACATCTCCTCATATAATTTTCCATAAAATGTTAACACTTCCATAAATAAATATAAGCATAGTTTAACTTTCAGCAGAAAATACTAATATTATGTTATTCATTTTCAAAAAAGATTTATAACAAAATAACCATTCTCTTACCTAGCCTAGGACATGACTTTTCCTTATAACTGTCACAGTCCACACATAAACTACTCTTGTAGTCTTGGTAAGATTGACAAGGAAATGAAACAAAATTGCAGTTTGATTCCAAAGCTGCCATGAATAGGTAAACTGCTCTTTGGTGGTCACATTTGATAAATTCAATTCCTTAAGGGTTAAAAACAAAACAATTATTGATGCATTCAACCAAGTTTACATAATTTAGGAAACAGTAAAATATTAAGTGCTAATAAATATTGCTCACCTTAAGAATATTAAAGTGTTGATTCTAATACATGATTACATCTCACGCCATTAAACAAATAGCATCATTGAAACCTTAAATTTGCATGTGTTTTGCATAACATTTATACTTTTCTGAAGTAATAAGTAACACAACAAAGATACTTAATTTCAATAGTTTAGCAAACTCTACAAAGTGCTACTATATTTAATAACTAATGTATGAATCTTTCTCTTCTAATCCTGCATACTCAGTGCATCCACTCAATTTCAGAAGTAACTAGGAAAACAGCTTACTTAAAGACTCTATTACCTCTCTGTTTCTGCACAATGTCTCACGTACTTATCCCCTTGACCAAACTTCTCTAGCTGCTGTGACTTTCGGCCATGTGTGATTACTTGACCAACTGCCATTGAAGACCTAAGATGTTTCTAGCTATGACTCAAGTGAGCCAAAATCCACACCCGGAGCTCTGCCTCAGCTTTCTCTGTTCACAAGACAGCCAATCATCAAGTCTATTTTTTTTTTTTTTTTGTATTGTACTATGGCGACTGTAAAGCATAAGTCCTGAGATCAAACTTGTGTTATATGAGACTTCAGCTACTTCTGCGTCCTCAATCACTTAAACTTCTCCTAAAATGATGAATTAAAACAGTTGACACCAAAACATAATAGTCTCATCAATGTCCAGATGTAACTTTTACTTATACAAACTAAGCAGGATTAAATTAATCCATTTTGATCAATAACTTTTCTTATACGCAATGGTGATTAAACCAAAGTTAAGAGGAAAAAAAGTAGGTTATTTTATCCTTTTGAATCATGTTAATTCATTCAAAAGTCTGTTTTTATACCTGAAAAAATTGATTTAGGACAGCCAGGTTGTTTTTTCCCTCCATTTGGATAAAAATCTATATGTCCCAAGGGCTCTTGAATGCCTAAACCTGAGAAGAGAAGTATCTAAGAATCACAAACTATATATAACCAGGTTGGTGACATATGCATAAAATAATATCTCCTTAAAACCCACTGAGAGTGACTATATAATTTTGAATTTAAAATAAATGATTTTTTAAGTCTTTCTGAAAATCCATTAAATCAATTATTTGTGAAAACTGTACTTCATCAATCTACCATATATCCAAATCACCAGTTTACACTGGGCCAAAGTACTTTGTGCTATAAATGCGTAAGTAAAAGATAAAAAAAAACTACATCAAAAATCCTTGTCATGGTGGAAAATATTGTCCAGTGAAAGTAAGACATAAGTTAAAATAAAGTATGTCAGATGAGAATAAGTGCCATGGGGAAAAATTGTGCAGAATAAAGAGGCAGAAAATGCCTGGCAAGAGTGGTCACTAAACTTCAATGTAGATGAGTTAGAGAATTTTCTACTGATGAGGTTGGAGTTGAGCAAAGACCTGAAGGATGTAAAGTAGCAAGCCAAAAGGATATGTGTGGGTATATTCAGCATATTCAAGGAAGCCACAGTAGCTGGAAGACAGTATTTGTAAGAAAAAGTGAACATCAGAGGAAATGAAGCCAAGTCATTAAGGACCTTGTAGATCAGTATGATGATTCACTCTCACATTAGATAACAATGCCTAGAACTTGCTGGTATTACATTCATTAAAAATTATTCTGTCTCAGAACAAGTTGGGTTGGAGTGGCAAGAAGCATGTAGCTATAACATAAAAGTGTACTTAGATTTGTTGATCATTGAGTGACTCCTGAAGGTTCAAATCCTTTTTAGCAATGCGGATATTTAATACAGAGGAGTCCTAAGAGTACTAATGACTCAAAATAAATGGGCTTAATGCTCTGATTTTGATTACATAGTTGGGTTTAATTTTACCACCTTATGAACTACCTTCTATTTGCTTCACTGGTTCCATGTAATTTACCTTTCATTTTTTTTTCTTGTCTTCTTTTGCATTTTCTAAAAAAAATATTCTGTTTTTGTCCTACAATAGTTTGGGAATTACATACTTGTTCATTCTTTTCTTTCTGGATATTCTGGATATTTAACATGGATAGTTTATTTATAAACATGAAGCAATACAGAGTCACTTTTACCTTCTCTCCTTACAATGAAAGGAACAAAGAATATCTGAACTTCTTTTACTAGTCCCCAAATGTATATACTATTATGTGAGAGAGTTTTTAACTCTCTATTTTAAGTCTTATAGAATGTTATTAACACTATTTAATGCAATGTCCGTTCATCTTAATATTTTACCATTTTCATTGCTTTTCTTTCCTGAATAGCTACAAGGTAGGGATAATTTTCCTTTAGCCTGAAGAACAGCCATTATATTCATAATTGTTTCCCTCAGTTTAATTTGCCTAAATATAAAATGTATTTGTTCCATTTTTATTCTTGAAACAGCCAGGGTACTACCCTACTACCCTTATTTAAAGTATGAGTCTATTATTCCTGCACAAACACAGTAGTATCTCTCTCTCTCTCTTTATTTTATTTTATTTTATTTTATTTATTTTTTTTTTAACAGGCAGAGTGGACAGTGAGAGTGAGAGACAGAGAGAAAGGTCTTCCTTTGCCGTTGATTCACCCTCCAATGGCCGCGGCCGGCATGCTGCAGCCGGCGCACCACGCTGATCCGAAGGCAGGAGCCATGTGCTTCTCCTGGTCTCCCATGGGGTGCAGGGCCCAAGCACTTGGGCCATCCTCCACTGCACTCCCAGGCCATAGCAGAGAGCTGGCCTGGAAGAGGGGCAACCAGGACAGAATCCGGCGCCCCGACCGGGACTAGAACCTGGTGTGCCAGCACCGCTAGGCAGAGGATTAGCCTATTGAGCCGCGGCGCCAGCCTACACAGTAGTATCTCAATAGCTGTCTTTCTGCAGCTTTAGTATCTTGTTTCTCAGTGAGAATTTCTCATTATTTGCTTCTATTAGAATTAATTAAATATTGTGAATTTGTGTATTATTTATATTTCCTTGATTTGGGGAAATCATGAGGTAGTCTTTAAACATTACTTTTGCTGTATTTTGCTGTATTTAGCAAAACATGATTTATCTCCTGAGTATGCACTGTATTTACCTTTAAGCGCTCTGTTATACAAGTATTGTTCAATCTCTGATATCTATTTCCTTAATTCTACAAATCTACTTTTCATCTATTTTCTAGTTCACTCACTCAAACAATCTTTATCTGTTTTCAATTTTCTGTTAAGCTCATTCATTGAATGAAAATTATTTTACTTTTTAGGATATAATTTTCATTACTTTCATCAAACACAATCAACCATATGTATATTTATGCTATATTGAAAATTTCAGCATTAGTTTTACCTCTTTAAAAATAATAAGCATATATTTATAGTCAATGTATAATAACTGCAATATCTGTAGGCCTGTCAGTTTCTTTCATTGACTTATTTCCAATGCTTACTATTTATTGACTATTGCTTCAGACCATCTTTCTTCAAGTATATTAGGTTATTTTTATTTGAATGTTAATAAACACAACAGTATTTCAAAATAGTTATAAAAATAATGTGAGATGAAAGGTGATGTGACTCACTAAAGAGGCCTGCTGTTTGAATCTGTGGGGTACCTAGAAGTTCCAGCTATCTAAAATTTCCCTAAGAAATCTCTGTAATTTTTGTCTGAGAAACTCAGCTGATTGGAAGGATGGCTACAGACCATAAAAATCCTGGTTTTCTGCAAGTTTACCTCTGCCCCTGCAGTGCTGTTCTCTGGTTTCCCAGAAAAAAAGTAAGAAATGTTTTACAAGACCCATTATGAGAGTTTCAAATGCACTTCCGAGTCTCTGCCTCAGAAAACCTTCCATAAAACACAAAGTGACTTCAAATTACCAGTTTGCCTCCCTTTATGTTTTTTTTTAATCTTCTGAACACTGATCATTTGTGCCAGTATCTCAGCAGGAATGTTTGTCCACGTCACCTAGTCCTCCACGTTGGAGTGCCACATGGCTTCTTTAACATATACAGCTGAAAAAGGACAAGGAGTATAGGCAGGTAGAAGATTTGTTAGCACTCAAGGAAAGAGTATTTTTTTTTTGACAGGCAGTATGGACAGTGAGAGAGAGAGAGAGAAAGGTCTTCCTTGTCCATTGGTTCACCCCACAATGGCCGCTGCGGCCGGCACACCGCGCTGATCCGAAGCCAGGAGCCAGGTGCTTCTCCTGGTCTCCCATGCGGGTGCAGGGCCCAAGCACTTGGGCCATCCTCCACTGCAGGTATTCTGTTAATTATATGCTGAGCCTAAGTGTTTAAGAAATTCCTGGCTAATGTGCAATGACAAAAATCAGTGTTCTTTATTTGTGATGGACACTGAAAGCTCTATCAGAGCTGCCAACTCTGAGACAATCCAGTGCCAGATTACACCTGATAGGTTGGAGTCACCAGAAAACATTGGGAATAGAAGATAGTCCATAACAGGTTATTACTAAAAGTCAAAAATGCAGGCAAAAATAATAAAAAGCATTAAGGGCTCATTCAAAAGGGCATCATCAGAAGTAATGCTGAGGTTTCAGAGGAAGAGTTAAGACAAGGGACCACAAGTTTCTGACCAGCAGGGATACCTGTGTGTGGATATGATATTAAGTTGATATGAAGAGCTAGCAGCAAGGAAAACAAGAGAGGTTGGGGGTATCAAACTAAACCTATGAGCATTCGCTTTCTAATAGGTAAGCCTTTATTCTAAATAAGGAGCAGAATTGTTCCCATTATAGCCTCAGTTCCTTGGAGTATAGTTTTAGAAGTTGAGAGACTGTCAATATGGCTTTTATATCTCACAGGAAAAAAAAAAAAAACTGGTATTGATCACAAGATAAAGTCAGGATAACATGAGAGCAATTATGGTACTTGGATTAAAGAGAAAGGAAACCTGAAGAAATAGGGTTACAGATTTAGTTTCAGTGTCTCTTCCTCTTGTCTCTAATTTAAGCAAGATAGAAATCACACCCTTCCATGTCCATTCCCACAACATATCTAAATTATCAGTTCATCAGAACAATATACTGGTGAAGTGAACACTCTAGAATCAAATACATGATTTCAAATTCTGGATCATTCACTTACTGACCTTGTCACCCTGACCCTAGTTTCCTCATTTGTAAAAGGGGAAACAACTATGATTATCGGTCTCATGGAAACTTAGAATTAAATCACATAAAGTACTTATAATACTGCCTGATATAAATGCAGCGCTCCATCAATATTAGGTCAAGGAAGGCTTCAGAATAGTTAAGTATTTATTAAGAATCTGTCCAATGTACTATCATCTACACTATTAATACCATGTTAGAGATTTTTTGAGAAGATAATTTAAAATGACAGAGAAATCACTTCCCTAACTTTGAAGAAAAAATACTTTGTTGTTGAAATGCTATGCTCAGATTGATACACATTGCTGAGACACAGTAAGAGACAGTGGTAACCTGGATATGTCAGAAACAGTATGCATGGGAGGAAGGGTGTTCAAGTCAATAAAGCTGTCAATATATGGGCAGGATGAACTAACTTCTACCAAGTTTCTATTTTGTACAATAATATGACACCTCTTGAAACAAGGCAAACCATAGGTGTGCAGTCCATTTGACAACACAGGAAATCACTAACCCCAGGCAATGCTGCCATGACTAATGAAAACATTAGCATTCTATAATTACAGATTTAAAATCATTTTATCCCCAACTCTTTCTCCTTTTGTAATCTCTTCTTCCCCAGGGCTATACTTCCTTTTTTCATTTAAATAATTAAGCAATACATCGTGCATTGTTACCATTGGCATCAGAATGGATGACATCCACAAATTTGGCATCAGTATAATGCAATCTGCTATAGGATGGTTTTCCAGAGAATTTGGGCCCAGCAGGGTCAAGACCTGAAATGCATGAAATAAACCATCAATAAAATCAGTTATTACTAGCTATCACTATGGTGTTCATCATATTGCATTATTGCATTAAAAATCTAGTATTCATAGTGTTAGTTTAAACCTGTTCAAAAACATAATAAAGGTAAATTAAATTGAATGAATATCAAATATCTTCATTATTGGAAAAATACTTATTACTGATATTCACAGATTGTCAAGGTAATCCACACTAGAGGTGCCTCAAGAAGGTTATGGAGGAGCTGGTCAAAGTAGAAAGCTTTTTTTCAGATATTAATTTAAGAAATAATTAGGAGTAAACCAGTAGTAAACATATTTGATAACAGCTATTTCTCCTGAGAAGGGAAGAACTATTTAATATCATCTTGTCCCCCCCAGAACAGTGGGCCTTACTAGTTCACTCTAAATTTTTCTATAGCTCTGGAATGCCTCTTGGGTATCAGATGAAATTTGGGATGTGGGATAAAACATCTTTATTCTTATCCAGTCATTTATTTATCACAAGAGATTTATGCATGCTTTTAAGAAAATATTTAAAATACATGGAATGTGGATATTATCTGGAGTATCAATTTGAAATAAAGATACAAGTTCTGGAGAGTAGCAAAAAGAAGGGGTATGAGATAAAATTCAATTCCTTGAGAATACCTAAATAAATAATCATCTTAAAAGACAATTTATGAAAAGAAATATCATTGTGTTAATTTCTGTTTTATTTAGTTCACTTGACTGAATGAGACAGAAATATTTCATTTCATGTAAATTATTCTAATGCAGCATTTCCACATTCAAACTGGATTTATATATCAGTAAGCACACATTGAATTGGAGTAGGACTGTTTCAAACTGATTAAGTGTGGTTATTAAAGAAGAACAGATGGTGGAGGGGACCGGTGCTAGGACAGTAGTTAATCCTCCACCTGAGGTGCTGGCATCCCATATGGGCACCAGTTCTAGTCCCAGCTGCTCCTCCTCTAATACAGCTCTCTGCTATGGCCTGGAATAGCAGTGGAAGATGGTCCAAGTGCTTGGGTCCCTGGACCCATGTGGGAGACTTGGAGGAGGCTTCTAGCTTCTGGCTCCAACCGTTGCAGTCATTTGGGGAGTGAACAAGCCGAAGGAAGACCTTTCTGTCTATCTCTCCCTCTCACTGTCTGTAACTCTACCTCTCAAATAAATAAATAAAATCTTTTAAAAAAATAAAGATATATTTAAAAAAATAAAGAGATTTTTTAAAAAATAAAGATTTTATTTATTTATTTGAGAGGTAGAGTTACAGACAGTGAGAGGGAGAGACAGAGAGAAAGGTCTTCTGTCTCCTGGTTCACTCTCCAAATGGCCACCATGGCCGGCGCTGTGCTGATCTGAAGCCAGGAGCCAGGTGCTTCCTCGTGGTCTCCCATGCGGGTGCAGGGGCCCTAGGATTTGGGCCATCTTCTACTGCTTTTCCAGGCCATAGCAGGAAGCTGGATTGGAAGAGGGACAGCTGGGGCTAGAACTGGCACCCATATGGGATGCTGGCGCCACAGGCAGAGGATTAATCTGTGCCATGGCACTGGCCCAATAAAAACTTTAAAAAAAAAAAATGGGTGGTTGAAAACTTTGTGCAAATTGTGGCTTACCTCTTATTTTCCAACTCTCTTATATCATTCAAGGAACCTGTTTTCATTTATGTTTCATGAGGATAATATTAACAATGATCAGATTAGATAACTCAAGGTACACTTAAGCTTTGGAAACATCCCAACTATCTAAACAAGTTATTTATTTCTCCCTCCTCCTTTTTTGAAACTTAACTATAGACTCTATCACTTTTTATTAGTGCATGAAATTATTATGGATCTACTATGGACACAGATATAAATAATTGTTTTAAAATGTGAATTGCTTAGGGAGGAATATTATCCTTCTAGTTCTAAAATCACCATCACTCCTAAAAGAATGAGAATCCTTGCCAGCACTATTTAGCCTCTGAGATTTCTGGATACAGTTAATCTTGTTATGAAAATCTGAGAGCAGTTAGGATCCAGAAACCCTCAAACTTGGTGCTAACTATTGACTCTCCCTTTAAGCATTTGAGTAATTTTTTTTTTATTTGACAGGTAGAGTTATAGATAGTGAGAGAGAGAGAGAGAGAGACAGAGAGAAAGGTCTTCCTTCCATTGGTTCACTCCCCAAATGGCCGCCATGGCCAGCACTGCACTGATCCGAAGTCAGGAGCCAGGTGCTTCCTCCTGGTCTCCCAGCCGGGTGCAGGGGCCCAAGCGCTTGGGCCATCCTCCACTGCCTTCCCAGGCCACAGCAGAGAGCTGGACTGGAAGAGAAGCAGCCGGGACTAGAACCCAGTGCCCACATGGGATGCCGGTGCTGCTAGGTGGAGGATTAACCAAGTGAGCCATGGTGTCGGCCCTGTGAGTAAAACTTTTAAAAGTATTGCAATATATCAAAGTTTGTGAAAAGTAAAAAAATAGATATATTGTTAGCTGATATGTGAATGAACAGTTCTTTAATTGACTACATTGTCCTCTATATTCTAAAAATAATGTGTTCAAATTTAGACAAAATTGCAGAAATATACTATTCCTTCTCATTTCCATTTTTAATACCTTAAGCTCTGCTCAGAACTAAATAAGGCTTTGGAGTATAGCTGAAACAAAGACTAATAATTTATTATAACACAGAAAAAATGTACACAGTTTCTATTGCTCAATTATTATATCAGCCAAGTTTTAAATAAAGTAACTTGTTGCTTAAAAAGTGTGTTGAAACAGTAAGTTTATACAAAATCATTTTACCTGTTATTCTTCCAAGTTGACCATGAAATATCTTTCCAACAAATCCACTAATATGAGCCCCTAAGCTCACACCTATGAAATGAAACTTGTCAAGAGATGCTCCATGTTTCTGCAATTGAAAATGCAGTGTCAAGGTTTTCGTTCAGGTAATCACAAATTACGTGTCCTATATCGATCTATAATTCATTAGTTTTTTAATCTGTTTCTGGGAGATAGGAAAAGAGACTATAATTTCAAAGCAACTACATCTTTAAATTTTTAAAGCCGTAACATATATTATGTAAAATAGTATATGCAAAATAACACACTAAATTAACAAATCATGATATAACAACAATAATAATAGACATTATTAGGTGATAACTTTGTGCTAACTACTTTGAATTGTGCTTTATAAATCTTAAAGCTAATATTCTCAATTTCCTATGACTCAGTTGTTTTTATCCTTTGCCCAAAACCGTCCCTGGCACCTAAGAAATACTAAATAAATAGCACTTGAGAAACCAAATTCAGAAGCAATGACTTGCCCAAGCCCATATATATGTAGAAGGGGAGATGATGGATTTCCAGTTGCCATGGTCTGATTGTGAGTATCTCCTCTCACCCAAATTAACACGCTGAAATCTTAAACCCCAAGTGGATTACATTTGAAGGTGAGGCTAGTGGGAGTTGAGGGATGGGGCACTGATTATGTTATGAGGCTGCAGCTCTCATGAGAGAATTAGTGCCTCGTTAAAAGAAGCCCAAAGGCACTTGTTTGATCTGTCTTCCACGGGAGGACACGGTGAAAAGGTAAGATGTATGAACCAGCAAGTGAGCCTTCACCTGACAACCTGTCGGGGCCTTGTTCTTGGTCTTCCCCACATGCAGAAGGGTGAGAAACAGATTTCTCTTATTTGTAAGCTGCCCTGTCCATTATATTTTGTTATAGCAGCCAGATGGACTGTTGGTCCTCAAAATTTATGCTAATCTGCCTTCTTATTTTATCTGGTTAGGTTGTACAAAATTTTCCAGGAAAATGAGTAAAACAGAGATGACAAAACAGGGTGCATGAATTTTAAGCAATTTCTCTCCAGAAGGAGACATCAGAAGCCTACACAAAGGACACGTTTCTTCCACAACATTCTTGGGGAGCTAACACAAGACTTGTGAGTAGATCCTGCCCAGCCTGTAAAGTAGCACTTCCAGTGATTCATAGAAAGATGTGGAGTATTTGCCACTAATAAAAATAAACAAGAAAATGAATGAATGAATGAATAAAAATTAGACTCAGGCTTTCTAGGCACAAAGTTACTCTGTCCTCAAATTTCTCAGATCAATCAGTGTCTATAACCCTGAGGGAGTATCTCTCCGAATTTTAATGTTACTGATCTTATCATATCTTCTCCTTCATGTGAAATTTTTGTAAGCAATGGCATTGTCAGAAATTTAACTGTGTAACCAAATTTCCCACACTTTACAAGTACATTTTTGGATTAGCATGTAACATATATTTTTAAGGAGTACCATACAACATTTCAACATAGGCCCACAACTAACACTGATCATCCCAGACCATCAACCCTTTCATTGCCTTATCTTTTCTTTGTGTTTGGAGCCTACGAGATCCTTTGTTCTGGTTCTATCACACATAATATCCCATACTTCAGGGCACTTATTGTCAGTTAGAGAAAAGATCTCAGTCATCAGGAAAAATCAATTATGCAATTTATAGACTATCAGTAAAAATGGCTGAAACAATTAGGTCCTTTGCAACTTTGTGTGGATGGTGTGATTCTGTCCAAATGATGTGATGTCACTGTAATAATGGCAGCTGATTTTATTTAGTGATTACTACACATCACTCATTGGTCAAGCATGTATATAAACAGGTATGTATATTTAATTATAAGAGTACTTCAAAATGTTGGTGGGAAATGGAATTAAATAATATTATTTGGTGAAAAGTTTTACAATCCAGGCATATGAGGAGTATTCAAATAGCACGTGGAAAAGGTGCACTATGAAAAACCTGGACAAGGATATATGGATTTAAAAAAATTGCACTCAAATAAACATCTTTTAATTCTATTTTTCACAAGCTTTTTGTTATTCATTTAATATTCATATAAATATTTTTATAAATTTAAGTTCAATTTCAAAAGAGGCTTGGAAGTTCACCATAACACAACACAAGGTCAGTTTCCAAGCTCAAAGATGCTCACCTCCCCCCAGGCAGATATCACCTTTCTTTTTCTCATTTCTTTCCCCATCACCATCACCTTCTTTCCCTCATTTATTTTCCCATCACCACCACTTTTCTCAGGACAGACTCGGATTTCTAGAAGTGTTAATTAAATAAATAAGAATCATTCAAACTATAGATGACATTGAACTGAGGTTGAACTTATTAAACCCAACGACCAAGGTGGCAGAATTATGCTACACTTCTAGCTACTTTCTCCTCATTTTCACAAATTCACACTTGATTAACTCCAAACATATCAGCTGTGCCTTAGGAAAGAAATCAAAGGAATGAAATGATTATATAGTTTATTCTCTCTCTCCACACAGGATCACTGCTCTATTCTGAAGTCTATAAAGGTAGAGTTGAAAGAAACAAACTTAATAATTGAATATTTAAGAGACTTTTTAAAAAATAAGGCACATCATGTACTGAAATACTTATTTAGGCAGACAAAGAAGATGGCTCAGCGTTAGTACATCAGAGCAGGAATTCCTGTGATATGGGAGAAGAGAATTTTATTGTCACTTTGTGTTGCAGAGTGCATACTGTGCATAAGCACAAAATTCCAAGACTTACCAAAAGATTCCTAATGCGCCCACTCAAATTCTCAGCAACTATTCTTGTGTTTTTAACCGCTCTGTTATAAATGAATGTTGTCGCACCTCGGTTCCAGTCTACTACAATAACATTCACATCTTCTTTATTCAACAAAACCCTCAGAAAATTCCGAAGCCAGGACGGGGTGGAGCCCATTGGTCTATATCCATGAATAAGCCAGACTGTTTTTTTCTCTGTGTTGAAATTCACATTAAGGGAGTTGTTGTGCTCAAAGAGTGGCTCAGCACAATTGAGATTGTTCCTGGTGTACAGCATCAGAATTATCTCTATTCTGGGAACAAACAAATCTTGAAAGGAATCCTTTAGACTTAGCTGAGAGAATTCAAGGCATGGTCTTTTATTATCTATAAAAAGAAGGGGAAAAAAGTCAGATGGAGTACTGGGATAACGTTTGATTCTGCTTTTGCCCAGAACAGAATTGAATTTGCAAGATAGGAAGTATTTCACTGTTATAATTCAACAGAATTCACTGAGAAACCACCATGTGTACAGTAACACGTTGGTTACAAAACATAAGTAACTGTAACTGATTAAAAATTTAAAATTGTTTTTATACATACAAAGAGAAAATAATAACAATAGTTTATCGCTAATAAAAAAGAACTAAAGTGATTATGAATGTTAACAGAAGTTTTACAGAAAAGTACTTATATATGAATAAAAAGTGGTAGGAAAAACATTGTTTTGTATGATTAGTGATCAAATGATTACAAACAAAAACAAAAGGTATTGTGCTTTGGTATCAAATGTTAAAAGTGCAAAAGTCCTTCTAATACTCAATACTGGCAAGGATAAAAGTAATAAATGTTCCTATCAATGAATGCTGACAGTGTAAGTTTATACAATGCTCCCCTAAAACTCTGTGTGCATAACTGTGGGGGTATACATGTTCTTTTATATATTTCTTTTTCTTGACTTTCTTCCTAAGATTTACATTAAAAAATAATGTATATGAAGTATAAGCACACTAATCATAAGCTTACATATAATCTCACAAAAATTTGAAACAGCTTAAATGTTATCATTATGGTATTCTCATCTATGAGGGCATTCTGCATGACTTCTGTTTATCATCTATCTACCTAACTTTCTATCTTTTCTAAAAAGAACTGAGACAGAAAATGAAAAAACTAAGCCAGTGTAATAACAATAGTCATCACAAGAAATGAAGCAATCACTACTTACAATTTTCTTTTGCAGAAATTTTCAAAATTGTAATTTTTTTCATGATAAGCACATCATTTCAAATGCTTTTTGTAAATGAGGGTATATATTTATACTGCTATGGAAGTTTAACTTGGTGAGCATTTTTGGGAAATAATATCTTATATCAAAAATTCACGGCCGGCGCCACGGCTCAATAGGCTAATCCTCCGCCTGCAGCACCAGCACACCGGGTTCTAATCCCAGTCGGGGCGCCGGATTCTGTCCTGGTTGCCCCTCTTCCAGGCCAGCTCTCTGCTGTGGCCCGGGAAGGCAGTGGAGGATGGCCCAAGTGCTTGGGCCCTGCACCTGCATGGGAGACCAGGAGAAGCACCTGGCTCCTGGCTTCGGATCAGCGCGGTGCGCCAGGCGCGGCGGCCGTTCGAGGGAGAACCAATGGCAAAAGGAAGACCTTGCTCTCTGTCTCTCTCACTGTCCACTCTGCCTGTCAAAAAAAAATTCACAAAATATTGTATACTTTATCCTGGTAATTCCACGTCTAAGAATCTATCCCAAGGAAAATACTGCAAAAAATAAATTAATATGTTACTTTAATACTAGTGGTAATATGAGTTACTTACAGTAATTCCAGTTTTGAAAGTATAAATGCAATGTTATCACAATTATTTAGAAGAAAGAGGAAGGCAATGAAGAAGCAAGATCTGCATATAATCCCCAAACAGTGGAGAGATACTTGGATAAGTTAAACACTTTGATACTTCATTTGTCCCTAGTACCGTGGAATGATAAAACGGAGAGGCAGAACAGATGGGATCACAGTGCAGTATGATGCTGACCTCTCCGAGAAAACTCTGTAGGGAATCATGTACATCCACCTTTCCATCAACTGGAACCAGGACAAGGACCAACCACAACAAATCCATCCAAATAGCTGGTCCACTCTCAGCCAAGGCAGATTTTACCTGCCCTGGAATGAGTGAGTAGTGTGGAATAAAGCAGTGAGATCTCTGTCATACAGATAAGGGAATGAAATCATCACCCACGACCATCAGCAGAGAAATCTGTTACTAGATGCAGCAAACTAGAAATTACTAGAATTACTAGAAATTGCAGAAAAGTCTACAGCACCCTCATTAAAATCCAAAAAAGATCATGTCTCAGAAACAGGAGCAGAGACCCAGTGAAAGAAAATTTGTAGATCTAATAAACAATAAGATAAGTTGGAAAACAGAATAATGAATTATTCCAGTTCAGGAAAAGTGAAAATGTTAAAACAAACATGGAAAGCTCTTCCTGTATTAGGAAATGAGGGGAGGAAGGTATAGGATAAGAAATGATGAATCAATTAAACACTAGTGCTATTCTCTGAAGAAGGTAATGTTTTTAGGGAGAAAGCATTTAAGGAAATATAATTGTATACCAGAGTTTGCAAGCTGAAAAGGCTCACTACCATCTAAAGAAAATGAGTTAATCACACTCACCAAGAGATTTCCTAGAAACTGGTTTGGATTTCGATGAAAGAGAAAAATATCCTAAAAATATCAAGGTAGAAAATCCAGGTTATAAATAGAGGAATATGACTTCATATTTCTCTTCTTAAATAATACATCAGATTGATAAAAGCATCCTGAATGAAAGTTCCAAGTAGAAAGGTTTGGGACCAAATCATTTCACCCTTGTCCTAAAGTACATCACCCATAAGTGACATGGTACAGTTCCTGATAACGTCATGTTAAGTACATGTTAGATTTGTTGAAGACAAGACCCACAGAATAAAAGAGGACACAGGAAATTTTAAATTAATGGGGAGGCAAGGAATTAGGTACATTCTTCCTAACAGAATACTATTTTACTTATACAAAAGAAAATCAAGGGAAGTATTATGTTGGTGTGTTCTGTTTCAACAACAGCTCCATTGATCACCCTTTCCTAAATCCATGCCATTTACCTCGTAGTGGGAAGGCATTCTCACATCGTGGGCGATTTGCACCAGCCCCACCCCTTAAATGGACACAAACCTCGCACTTCCTAATTCACATCTAAAGCAACCAGAGCCTTCAAAAGGACCTGCCTATGGGGATACCTACATCTCTGTCATCACCATGGAGACAATCCTGGTGTGGCCTAAGAAGACAGATAGGTTTAAATAATTTTTTTTTATCTTTTATTTAATGAATATAAATTTCCAAAGTATGTCTCATGGGTTACAATGGCTTTCCCCCCCATACCGTCCCTCCCACCCACCACCCTCCCCTTTCCCACTCCCTCTCCCCTTCCATTCACATCAAGATTCATTTTCGATTATCTTAGTATACAGAAGATCAGCTTAGTATACCTTAAGTAAGGATTTCAACAGTTTGTTCCCACACAGAAACATAAAGTGAAAAATAATAGATGATATTTTTTAAATGATGATGAAATCAGATCAGACCTATTGTCATGTTTAATCCCAGTGAGAGTCAAGTTGGGAATTGATAGTTTCTTTCTTTTGTTATTCTTTTCTTTCAACAGAGGATCAGTTTAGTGTACATTAAGTAAAGATTTCAACAGTTTGCACCCCCATAGAAACACAAAGTGAAATATGGAACAGAATTGAAACACCAGAAATCAATCCAAACATCTACAGCCAACTTATATTTGATCAAGGATCTAAAACTAATTCCTGGAGCAAGGACAGTCTATTCAATAAATGGTGCTGGGAAAACTGGATTTCCACGTGCAGAAGCATGGAGCAAGACCCCTACCTTACACCTTACACAAAAATCCACTCAACGTGGATTAAAGACCTAAATCTACGTCCTGACACCATTAAGTTATTAGAGAACATTGGAGAAACCCTTCAAGATATTGGCACAGGCAAAGAATTTCTGGAAAAGACCCGGGAGGCACAGACAGTCAAAGCCAAAATCAACTATTGGGATTGCATCAAATTGAGAAGTTTCTGTACTGCAAAAGAAACAGTCAGGAGAGTGAAGAGACAACCAACAGAATGGGAAAAAATATTTGCAAACTATGCAACAGATAAAGGGTTAATAACCAGAATCTACAAAGAGATCAAGAAACTCCACAAAAACAAAACCAACAACCCACTTAAGAGATGGGCCAAGGACTTCAATAGACATTTTTCAAAAGAGGAAATCCAAATGGCCAACAGGCACATGAAAAAATGTTCAAGGTCACTAGCAATCAGGGAAATGCAAATCAAAAGCACAATGAGGTTTCACCTCACCCCGGTTAGAATGGCTCACATACAGAAATCTACCAACAACAGATGCTGGCGAGGATGTGGGGAAAAAGGGACACTAACCCACTGTTGGTGGGAATGCAAACTGGTCAAGCCACTATGGAAATCAGTCTGGAGATTCCTCAGAAACCTGAATATAACCCTACCGTTCGACCCAGCCATCCCACTCCTTGGAATTTACCCAAAGGAGTTTAAATTGATAAAGAAAAAAGCGGTCTGCACCCTAATGTTTATTGCAGCACAATTCACAATATCCAAGACCTGGAACCAACCTAAATGCCCATCAATGGTAGACTGGATAAAGAAATTATGGGATATGTATTCTTTAGAATACTATACCGCAGTAAGAAACAACGAAATCCAGTCATTTGCAACAAAATGGAGGAATCTGGAACACATCATGCTGAGTGAAGTAAGCCAGTCCCAAAGGGACAAATACCATATGTTCTCCCTGATCGGTGACAACTGACTGAACACCAAAAAGGAAACCTCCTGAAGTGAAATGGACACTATGAAAAATGGTGACTTGATCAGCATAGCCCTGACTGCTAATGGACAACTTAATACATTATCCCTCATAGTATTTTTTTTTTGTCTGTTCTACTTAATATGACTGGTTTAATTCTGTAATTATCACACAGTTATTCTTAAGTGTTGAAAATTAACTGAAATGTGATCCCTGTTAAACATAAAAGTGGGAATAAGAGAGGGAAGAGATGTATAATTTGGGGCATGCTCGGGCTGACTTGCCCCAATTGGTAGAGTTGGAAACATACTAGGGGATTCCAATTCAATCCCATCAAGGTGGCATGTGCCAATGCCATCTCACTATTCCAAGTGATCAATTTCAGTTCACAATTGATCATAATGAAAGGACTAAGAGTCAAAGGGAGCACATAAACAAGTCTAGTATCTGCTAACACTAACCGATAGAAT